ACACAATAAAATAATGAGAATTCTTTGATAAAATAAAATAATGGAGAATTATTGTATGTTTTATTTTCATTATTTTATTATTTCCATTCTACGTGACTTTACCGAAAGAACCAAGAAGATGAATCCTTGCAGTCACGAAAGCTTTAAATCGAAATTCAAGTGGCTCTTCATCATGCGGAAATTTACAGCAGCCGTCAAATATCTCTAAACGCGTGATGTTGACTCTAAACGTGGAGGGGAATATCAGAATCAGAATATTTATTTTTACTCGAGGAATCCGATGAGCTACAAAGATTTTTTTCACAGCTGTTCAGTTCGGGCCTGCAGCTCCGCCATCTGCGCCCGTGCGTGAACAGACATTTCACAACGCGCACAGCCCGCATGAGGCAAGACCGCGGCAAGCTGCGCACGCTAGAGGAGGTAGGGGCCACAGTGACATCGGAGACCAGGGGACCCGGTCTCGATTCATCGCAACTGCTCGTGTTCGAGAAGAAACGCAAACCTTTGCGCTTCCTGTTACAGACCGCGAAGGCCGATGTGAGGATACTTTATAAAGATGCACACACAAAGATCCCCCCGACCGTGTAGACTTCACAGAATGTTGGGACAAGTTCTGTTGGAGAGCACCTATGAAGGCCGGCATGGCACACGAGGAGGGGGGGGTAGCCAGTACCATGCACGGCCGGCTTTGTCTCCGCAGTGGCAATGTTTACACACCGCATTACGTACACATTTTGAGGCCGAGTCGACCTAGGGGAGGCCCAGGCCCGTGTCAGATAATCGTCACTGGTGACGACCGTGAGTGGGAATGGAACTTGGGTCGTCAGGTTCGTAGCACAGCGTGCTAATTTCTACAAGCATCGCTTCCCCAATGTCAAACACCCTCGCATGCACACAAAGATAAAGATCCCACCTATGTAGCCTTAGCAGACTGTTGGGACAAGTGCTGTTAGCAAGTAGCAGCAGCAGCTATAAAGGGTGCTCCTCACACCGGCAAACACTCGACTCTACGCGATCTTGTGACCCATAACTCACGTGATTTTATTGAAACGCTGATGCCAATTTTGTTGACGTTGTAATGTACACCGACCACACTCACACTGCTTCGATATAGTCAAGGGGAGATACACCAATCAGATTCTGCTTAAAACATCTCGTTAAATTTGGTCACGCGCCTAATTTATCTCTAATTACAGGTTTAAGAACCGAGTTTCAGGTAGGAACAACAGGTTCCACACTGCCCACCAGGGATTATTTGTCTGTCTGTCGTGCATATTTGTCTGTCGTGCACGAATGCGCTGTCCTACCAAGTTCCTACCTGCCCACTCCGAAGGAACGTGTTATTTTGAGGGTCCTGGGATTAACCTCACTCTCGCATACAGAGCACGTGGGAAAACGCTGCATCCCACTGTGAAGACCAGAGTCACTGGAATGGATCTGCTGCCACTGGATATAGGCACTACCCACATCACCACCACGAGAGGGTTTGTCGAGGTGAATGAGACGTGATGTGTTGTTGGTAGACAGAATGGTGGCCTCTGGTCAGTGGGGAGCGGTAAGCCTAGCGGTTAGCGCACTGCGCTATGAACTCAGCGATCCCGAGTTCAATTCCCGCTCGCGACCAACACCACCAGTGACGATTATCTGAACTGGTCCTGGGACTCCTCTTGGCCAACTCAGTCTCAAAAACGAGTGCGTGGTGCGGTGTGTAAACATCGGAACTCGGTAGACGAAAGCGGCCAGGCGTGGTGTTGGCCACCCAGCCCCTCGTGTGCCGTGCCGGCCTTCATAGGTTCTACTCGTTAACAGCACTTGCCCCTCTAGCCTATTAGGGCTATACGGGGTATCTTTGTCTTTGGTCTCTGGTTAGCATTGCAGTGAACCATCGCTTCCTTCATCGCGGTCTCAGAACGCGCAAACGCGGCTCAAAATGACAAAACAAAAAAATAATCACTCGACATTGAGCAAACAGAGTTCAGTCTCTGGCTGGCAATGGAAAAATCCCAGAGCCGAGGGACAGAGAGACGAAGAGAGACAGACACAGAGGCACGCATGGTGAGACGTGAAGAGAAATGCAGAGAGACGCATCGAAAGTTAAAGTTGCTTCCACATCAAATGAACGTGGGGGGAGGTGGTCACCGAGTTTCTTCTAACATGCCGAAGATATTCCTAGGAATTCCACATTTCTATGACGGGGTGGGGGTCAGTCAATGCATTGGCAGCCGCGATGTTACATTTTTCACAACGTGGTACTAATTTGAACCTTGCGAGATGGCAAAACCCCACGTTTTAATGTTGTGTGTGTGGCATCACACCAGTGTGGCGTGTAATTAACATCACCACTGGGGAGACAAAGGCGGCCAGGAGTTGTGTTGGCCACCCACCCCCTCGTGTGCCATGCCGGCCTTGATAGCTGCTGCTTACTAACAGCACTTGCCCCAGCAATCTGTTCAGGCTATACGGGGGGGGGGGATCTTTGTCTTTGTGGATTCACACCGATAATAATTCACCGTTAAATTATTGTGAGAAGATATAAATACGCACAAAAATCGGACGACAATCGGTCAAACAAATTTCTTTAAAATTGCTTTTCGCGTTTAATTTGTTGGCTTCCCCCCCAGCAACTTCGATTATCACGGTCGGCTCCGTACGGTGCGAAAGAATTTCAACACTCACATACATAAAATATTAATTGCTTCACGATGATCCGACAAACTGAAAGAAAACGTGACACACACTCACACACGCGTGCTGGGAACGTCACTGAGAGACGAAGAAAGGAACAACACCAATTAGAGAAACACACCGCAATGTTATCGACAACATTCGCATTATTAAGAAATATCCTTCGGTGCCTTGGGCTTGACGAGGCGTCCTTCACACGACCATGATGGACAGGCGATGATCGAGAATAGCAAAGGAGCGAACTGCCAAGCGATGAATCCCTTCACAAACTACACATTTTTATTTTATTTTATACCAGGTAAGGGTCGCACGGAGCTATAGAAGTGACCTCGTCATCACAACTGACAGCTCAACGAAGTGGGCTTATCATAACGTAGAAATGTAAAGCAGTCAATTCATCTGAACGCACGTCGATTCTAAACGTGGAGGGAACAACTATTTTTTATTTTACCAGGTAAGGCCCCACTGGGCCATGTAGTTATTTTTCAGAAGTGACCTCGTCATCACAAATGATAACTCCACGAAGTGGGCTTATCATCATCATCATCGTAGTGTGGGAATTTATAGCAGCCAATTCATCTGAACGCACGTTGATTCTAATTAAACTGATTTAATACGACCAGGTAAGGCCCCACTGGGCCATGTAGTTATTTTTCAGAAGTGACCTGGCTTTTACAAATGATAGCAGTGGGCTCATCATCGTCATCGTATAGCAGCAGCCAAACACTCTAAATACTCGTGATGTTGATTCTAAATGCAGAGCGGGAAGATATCAGAATCATATGTATGTATAATGTAGGAATGAGCTAAACATCTATTTCCCCCACCAAAAAAAGATCCCCCGTATAGCCTGTAACAGACTGTAGGGGCAAGTGCTGTTAGCAAGCATCTATGAAGGCCAGTACAGCACACGAGGTGGGTGGCCAGCACCACGCCCGACCGCCTTTGCCTCCCCAGTGTCGATGTTTACACACCGAACCAGGTACTCATTTGAGGCCGAGTCGACCTAGGGGAGGCCCGGGACCGGTTCAGATAACCGTCACTGGTGTTGGCCATGAGCTGGAATCGAACTCGGGGAGCCGGGTTCGTAGCTCAGCGTGCTAACCGCTGCGCCACCGCTCCCCACTACACACACACACTCATGTACACACACTCATGTACACACACACACATGTACACACACACATGTACACACACTCATGTACACACACGTACACACACTCATGTACACACACACACACACACGTACACACACACTCATGTACACACACACACACACACGTACACACACTCATGTACACACACACACACACGTACACACACACACACGTACACACACTCACATGTACACACACTCACATGTACACACACTCACGTACACACACACACATGTACACACACACACATGTACACACACACACATGTACACACACTCACATGTACACACACACACATGTACACACACACACACATGTACACACACACACACATGTACACACACTCATGTACACACACTCACATGTACACACACACACATGTACACACACACATGTACACACACACACATGTACACACACACATGTACACACACTCACATGTACACACACTCACATGTACACACACTCTCATGTACACACACACACACATGTACACACACACATACACAACAAGACGCCCAGCAAAAACCGCAACAGACGGAGCACGCGAACTGAGCGGGTAAATGAGATCTTGCGCGAAGCGGCGCTGGGTAGAGGGGCTTGTCAATATCGCAGAGCGTGGTGCGTGGTGTGTCGTGTGGCTGCGGGTGCGGAGGCTTCTGGGGGGGGGGGGGGGTGCGGAGGCCTTGGGGGGGGAAGCTTCGGGGAGGGAAGCCTTCGTCCAGCAGTGGATGGAGCAAGACCGGCGGCTTGCACATCGTCAAACATGCAGGGCGCATCGCACGCAACATTCACATTGCTTTCTCGCTCGCTCTCAAGATGACAAAGCCGCCGGTCTCGCGAACGCCGTATCCAGACCACGCCGTCGCTACTGTAAATTTTTCCACGAGTTTAATTTAAATAAAAAAATCTAAAAAAAAACATTAAAAATGTGAAGGAATAAAAACGCCTCAGATAAAATACCGCGGGTTTACAATTCGCAGCACGAATAAGCGACGGCGAGTCCAACAGCGAACGCCATTGGCCGAGATCGCATCACGTGACACGCGACCGACCAACGGGGCGCGAAGATGACCGCTGGTGTCGCTTATCCGCGCTACCAAATGTAATCGCGCCCCGCCGTGACATTTCCCTCCGTCTCCCTCCCCTCCCTCTCACCGGGCTGAGCCGCCATGGAGGAGGACGACAACGCTGCCAGGGCGACGACGAGCGCGACGAGGGGAAGCGCCATCGTCGAGGCGAGAGAGCGCGGCCGCCGAGAGACGCCCCGACAACCACCGCCAACACCGTCTTCGTCAAGGGCGAAGTGCAGGATTATTAAAGCGGCTCCTTCTCGCACCCCATTGGTCCGCGGGCGTCACGTGACCCGCATAAATTATGTTAAGTGACACCAACGCCTCATTGGCTACCGCCCACCGGAGATTGAGGCTGTCCGTTTTTTTTGGAGGTTCAGAAGAAATCTTCAGAGCACGGTAGACGATGACGTCATGGCTTCCGTCTTCCGGAAGATGTATCTGTGTGTTTTTTTTAAGTTATTCGAAAAGTATTTTTTAAACGTATCAAAAAATATTTCTTGTAATTAATAAATTGTTAAAATAAAGACAATAAAAAATAAACTCCTTAAACATTTATTTTTAAAAGAAAACGGTTTTATTTTAAAGTGCACTCAAAAGTAACACAATTTTCTTTCAGCCATCACCAGCTGATCAGAATATTTTTGTACATTTGTAACTAAAACATTTTTTATCAGATGTTCGAAAGAAATCTTCCGAGTACGGTATAAATAATTATATTATTTCTATTATTATTTCTATTTTTATTATTATTATTTTTTACCTACGGGATTTTACCGAAAAAACTTAAGAGTATGAATCCTTGCAGTCACGAAAGCTTAAAATCTAGAATATATAAATAATGAGTCATGGATAATGTATTCTGGAAGATGTATCTGGGTTTTATTCAGATGTTGATATGAATCTTCCTAGCACGGTAGACGATAAGTCATCGTTTGTCTTCTGGAAGTAGTGTCTAAGTTTTTTTTTAAGTTAGGAAGACATCTGCCGAGTACGGTAGATGACGAGCCATATTTATATCTTCTAGAAGATGTATTTGCATTTTATTTCGAAGTTCGGAAGATATCTTCCGAGCACGGTAGAAGATGAGTCATGGCTTCCGTCTTCTGGAAGGTGAGTCTACGTTTTCTTTGTTTGGAAGACTTCTACCGAATGCGGTAGAGCAATGCTAGGCATATTCTTAGGTTAATCTAGAATCAATGCTAGGCAGTTTTAACACTCAGGGACCTTTAGCGATCAATAATAACCACAAAATAGGTATTTTATGGTGGGTTAGATCGCGTAAATATATAAATGTTGTGTCGTTAAACCCGCCACCACCCGACACAGACAATTAGTAAGGTTTGTCACGTAAACAGAACCTTGCCAATTCAGAACTAAATTTCGATTTAAAGCTTTCGTGACTGCAGGGATTCATCTTCTTGGTTCTTTCGGTAAAGTCACGTAGAAGGGAAATAATAAAAGAATAAAAGATAAAAGTTTTTTTTTTATTTCCCTTCTACGTGACTTTACCGAAAGAACCAAGAAGATGAATTCGAAACTAGTACAGCAACACCGGTGTGTTGGAGAGCAAAGCCACAACATTTACGATTGTACTGGTAGCAACCACCTGGTTCCACCAGCCCACAGGGGATTATTGTGTCCGTCCGTCCGTCGTGCATCCAAAAATGGGAGGGGTGGGGCTGGGTGGAGAGGGGAGGGTGGGGAGGGGCTGGGTGGGGAGGGGCTGGGTGGGGCTGGGTGGAGAGGGGAGGGTGGGGAGGGGCTGGGTGGGGGGTGGGCTGGGTGGGGAGGGGCTGGGTGGGGAGGGTGGGGCTGGGTGGGGAGGGCTGGGTGGGGAGGGTGGGGTGGGGCTGGGTGGAGAGGGGCTGGGTGGGGGGTGGGAGGGGTGGGGCTGGGTGGGGAGGGGCTGGTCACCCCGTGGTGCCCTTATAAAACTCAACGTTTAACCTACTCACGCCGGCTTGTGCCCGCCCTCACAGTCGGGCATATTTGCGGAATACACCACGCCGCCGTTGACCCTGGCCATTGACCGAGCAACCCAACGTTCCTACCAGCTCCCTCCGCAGGAATGTGTTTTTGATTGTCATTATTAACTATTTTATTATTTAAATTTACTAAGGTCACCTTTTATTTATTCCATGAAGGAGCATTTTGCTTCTCCATGGGAGAATGGAGAAGCATACATTTTGAAAATGTTTTAAATTATTGTTATTAAAAATCTTGATTCTAATGATTCTACCATGGCTTTTCAGTCTGTAGAATGAATATATGATTGTTATAATTGTACTCTCCATTTTGCTTCGTTCTACTACAAAGTTAAGTATTTTTTTTATAGTTATAATTACTTTTAATATTTAATAATTACAGTACAAGATAATTTCAATATAATTTTCTGAACATCTGCAGTTTTAGTTCGACGTTGAATATTTTCAAGTGAATTTTATGCTAAATTTCAGCTTTCCAACGCCTCCTTTTTAATTAATGTTTTCTCCTACATCAGAGTGCAGCGCCACATTACATACGCACTACAATGACAATAGTTAAGCGATTTGAAGCATGTTTTACTTTCAAAATGGAAATATGGTTTGGGGGGGGGGCAGAAATTTGTGACGTAATATTTGAGGGGGGGGGGTCTGACTTTTTGTGACACCGTGTGACGACGGGGAGGGGGGGGTCAAAAATCGTTCAAAATCGCGTGACGTCATTTATGGACGGCCCAAAAGCAGTTCGAACGCAAATCATTAAATCCTTTACATTAAGTTCACTTGCTTGCTTGCTTGCACGCTTACGACCGTGACAATCTTTCGGTCGTTTTTTAACCCACTTCCCGTGATCCAATCTAGCTGACATTTTGCACACAGACTCGTTGTGCGTGACAATTTCTATTCGTGAAAAGTTTTTTTCCAAAATTTAACACTTTTTAGGTATTTTTTTTATATTTAATTACCAATTGCTTAATGGTGGCAGGCAATCATCTGACCCATAGGTCGCAGCCATCTCAAGCCAGAGGACGAGAGGACTCTAGCCGCCCGTTTCAAAGACCAATGTGGGCTGGGTTGTGGCCCATTGAACACGCATATAAAGGATTTATAGTGAAAAACTTTGTTTTTAAGGGTTAATTTTTTTTCACTCTCGACGAAGATGATTTTAAGGTGCACTGCTCCGGCGGCTTCTGAATATTGGAAGAAAGAACGTTCCAGACGGCCAGCAGAAGCGCATCTGAAAGCGCCGGACGACGCAGTGACCGCCATCTTTGTTTGATGGCCAGCGAGAAGCCGCTGCGAGGATCCACGTGATGGTTTATGCTCCTTAGGGGCCGTCCATAAATGACGTCACGCGATTTTGGACGATTTTTGCCCCCCCCCCCCTTCGTCACACGACGTCACAAAAAGTCAGACCCCCCCCTCCTCAAATATGACGTCACAAAGCTCTGCCCCCCCCCTCCAAAAATAAAACATGCTTCAAATCGCTTTAAACTATTGTCATTGTAGTGCGTATTTAATGTGGCGCTGCACTCTGATGTTGTAGTAGAAAACTTTATTAAAAAGTCTATTTAATTAAGTAGAACGTGTTGTCTATATTTATTTAAAGTTGCGCATTTTGATGTGACGTCACATTTCTCAAAACCCCCCTATCGTCAAATGTCTGACCCCCCCCCCCCAGGTGCGTGACGTCATTTATTAAAGGCCCCTTATGTTGACAAAGCTGTTGACTTGTATGTTGAACTTCTTTCGCACCGTACGTATCCAAGTGCTCATCGGAGGTGCGGGGGAAGGACAGCCAACAACCCAGTAGTTAAACTAAAGACAGAACGCAGTTCTTAAGAAATTAGTTGTTTGTGCACCATCACAGCCAATGGTGCAGCAGCAGCAGCATCACTAAAATAATGTTTATTATGTTACTCACCCTCGCCACCTTGTGGACGTTCCACGGACGTTCACGTGTGTGTGTATTCTAACACGTTCCTTCGGAGTGGGCAGGTAGGCACTTGGTTGGACAGCGCATTCGTGCACGACAGACAAATACTCCCTGGTGGGCAGTGTGGAACTGTTGTTCCTACCTGTATTAGTTAGGTCTTTCGGTGAAGTCACGTAGATAAAAAAAAGTTAATAAAAAAATATCACGTTTCGATCGCAACACAAGCAATCGTCATCAGGTACTTATTGCGATCGAAACGGCGTGTTATTTTGTATTCACTTTGTATTTTTTATTTGATTGTTCTATCTACGTGACTTTACCGAAACTCCCAAAGAATATTAATTCCTGCAGTCACGAAAGCTTTAAGTCAAGATGCTGCGAATTCTATTCACAGGTCGACTCAGCCCCAAATGAGTACCTGGTGGCGGTGTCGATAACATCACCGCTGGGGAGACAAAGGCGGCCGGGCGTGGTGCTGGCCACCCACCCCCTCGTGTGCCGTGCCGGCCTTCATAGGTGCTACTCGCTAACAGCACTTGCCCTGAACAGTCCGAGGCTGTACGGGGGATCTTTGTCCGTGTCTATTCACAGCGGTGTTTAGCCAAGCAGCGATGGTGGTGGTGGTGATGGATACACTGCCTGTGGCTGCCTGTCATCCAGGGTCGTGGAAGGCAACAGTGAGGGTTGGTGGGTCACGCACAGATGGTGACAAACTCCCAGGCGGTAGAGCAAAGTGTGGACTAATCTACATCCCATGGCCGTCGCGAGGTGCAGCCGTACTCGCCCTGGCTCCTCCTCTCCGCGTGGCTGCTGGCTGCCTTCCCCCGCGGGTCGGGGCAGGTCCAGACGTCAACGACCTCACCTGGTATGCAGGAGGTTGTGGGTTCGATCCCGACCATGACACCTGCTGTATATTTGGAGTTTGCGGTGTCTCTCTCATCATCATTATCATCATCACGGTGGCTAGGAGATGTTAACTACCTCGTCTGGTATGAAGGAGGTTGTGGGTTCGATCCCGACCATGACACCTGCTGTATATTTGGAGTTTGCGGTGTCTCTCTCATCATTATCATCATCACGGTGGCTAGGAGATGTTAACTACCTCGTCTGGTATGCAGGAGGTTGTGGGTTCGATCCTGACCATGACACCTGCTGTATATTTGGAGTTTGCAGTGTCTCTCTCACTCTCCGTGGTCGCTTGGATTGTTCATCCGGGTCCTCCAGTTGTAGAATCAACGCCACTCGTTTAGACCATTTGGCTGCTGCTATATATTTCCAGCTCATAAGCCACTTTGTTGAGCTATCGTCTGTGGCCGGGTCGCTGTTGAAAAAGAGCTACACTGCTCAGTGAGCCTTACCTGGTGAAATAAAACTAGTTTAGCCGTGGCCAAGAGTCGAGCGCCTGGGGTCTTTGTTAGAAGTGGCTCGGAGGAATCGCCGGACGGGACATCCTGTGTGTTGAACTTCTTTCGCACCGTACATCACTAGCCGTGCTAATTGGAGGTGCGGTGTTGAGTCTATGGGCAGTGTGTGTGTTGAACTTCTTTCACACCGTACATCGCCAGCCGTGCTCATCGGTGGTGGGGGAAGGAAACTAAACGCAAAAAGCAGTTCTGAAGAAATGAGTTTGTCAATCGCGATGATGATTTAGAAGTGCATCGCTCCCAGTGGCGTCCTAATATCGGAAGCGAGCACGTTCCAGACGGCCGCAGAAGCGCATCCGAATGCGCCGCCGTCTTTGTCCGGTAGCCCAGCCAGAAGCCGCTGCGAGGATGACCGGAGTTCGCGTGGTCTATGGTTATGATTGACGTACCTGTTGACTCGTTCCATGTTGAAACGAATTTATCTAGACGATTTAGCAATGCACGAGCGTGCATAGCCCTTCAGTGGCTTCCCAACAATAACAATTGGTGAATTTCGATTTAAAGCTTTCGGGACTGCAGGGATTCATCTTATTGGTTCTTTCGGTAAAGTCACGTAGAAGGGAAGTAATAAAATAATAAAAATATTATTACTTCCCTTCTACGTGACTTTACCGAAAGAACCAAGAAGAACAATTGGTGAGGCAAGAGCGTTCCAGACGGCCGCAGAAGCGCATCCGAAAGCGCCGCGCGACGCGGCGGCCCGTTCTTTGTTCGCCTTGAGCCGACGCCGCTCAACGATGTCGCAGCGTAGCGGACCCATCGCGTCTCCCCGTCGCGAATAACCAAGCACGGTGGGGTTTTGGGATTGTATTGCACACCTTTTATTGAACGTCCCCCCCCCCCTCCGGTACTCCCGTTACATTTGAATAATTTTCGTTTCAGTGCAAGCAGCGTGGTGAGAAACGCGGTCAACTCCTCCACCACACTACCACACACAGGCAGATCGCTTGCTAACCCCCCCGCCCACCCCCCCCCCCCCCCGACTCACACACACGGCAAAGCAACCCAACCCAACCGCACTCCCTCCCACGGCTCACCGGGCCCCCTTCACCGATGTCAGATCGCGGTGCCTGCTCCTTAACCACGTGGGCCTCTCATTATTTCGATTCTGGCGTTTGCCCGCCGTCCGGATGTCGAGATCTGGTGACTGTGGTGACGGCGGTGACGCGGGCGGTGACGCGGCCGTGTGCAGGCGGTGTGACTGCACCGGGGCACACAGGGACTGCAAAGGAGGGAAAATTGGATGGGCGACGACGACGATGACTACGAGGGAGGAGAGCGTGGCGAGCGTTGGTGGGGGGCGGCCCCCCGGGACCCCCCCCCCCCACCGCACCGGGGGCCCCTCACTCGGCGACGATGACGCGCATCGTGTTGGTGAAGCCGGAGCCCGGGCGCCAGCCGGTCACGATGATCACCACGCCGCCCTTGTGGATGAACTTGCGGTTCTTGCCTGCAGCGTGGGGGGAAAGAACGGGGATCGATGGGGGATCAATGGGGATCAATGGGGGATCAATGGGGGATCGACGGGGGATCGACGGGGGATCGACGGGGGATCGACGGGGGATCGACGGGGGATCAATGGGGGATCAATGGGGGATCAATGGGGGATCGACGGGGGATCGACGGGGGATCGACGGGGGATCGACGGGGGATCAACGGGGGATCAACGGGGGATCAACGGGGGATCGACGGGGGATCGACGGGGGATCGACGGGGGATCGACGGGGGATCGACGGGGGATCGACGGGGGATCAACGGGGGATCAACGGGGGATCGACGGGGGATCAACGGGGGATCAATGGGGGATCAATGGGGGATCAATGGGGGATCAATGTGGGATCAATGGGGGATCAATGGGGGATCAATGGGGGATCAATGGGGGATCAATGGGGGATCAATGGGGGATCAATGGGGGATCAATGGGGGATCAATGGGGGATCAATGGGGGATCAACTGGGCAGCATCGACGGGGCATCAATGGGAGATTGACCGGGAAAGAAATGGGAAACTAGGGACTGACCGAGGATCACACAGGGATCAACTTGATATTTTACACGTTTCCTTTGGGGGGGGAGGGGGGCGGGGGGGTGGTGGGAGGTGGCAGCGTTTAGTGCCGGCGTGATAGCATCGTGGCGGAGGTGATGTGGCACTCTGGCGGCGTGGTGATGGCGGTGGTGGCGGTGTGGTGGCGGTGTGGCGGCGGCGGCGGCGTGAGTGGTGCCACGATAGGGTGGGTGGTGGTGGCGGCCGTGTGGCAGGTTTGTGGTGGCGTTGCGGCAGTGGCGATGTGGCGTTGGTGCCATGACAGGGTGGTAGTGGCGTGGTGGTGTGGTGGTGTGGTGGTGTGGTGGTGTGGTAGTGTGGTGGTGTGGTAGCGGTGTGGTAGTGTGGTAGTGTAGTGGCGTGGTAGTGTGGTGGTGTGGTAGCGGTGTGGTAGTGTGGTAGTGTGGTAGTGTGGTGGTGTGGTGGTGTGGTGGTGGTGGTGGTAGCGGTGTGGTGGTGTGGTGGTGTGGTGGTGTGGTGGTGTGGTAGTGTGGTGGTGTGGTAGCGGTGTGGTAGTGTGGTAGTGTGGTAGTGTAGTGGCGTGGTAGTGTGGTAGCGGTGTGGTAGCGGTGTGGTAGTGTGGTAGTGTGGTGGTGTGGTGGTGTGGTGGTGGTGGTGTGGTAGCGGTGTGGTGGTGTGGTGGTGTGGTGGTGTGGTGGTGTGGTGGTGTGGTAGTGTGGTGGTGTGGTGGTGTGGTGGTGTGGTAGTGTGGTAGTGTGGTAGTGTGGTGGTGGTAGTGTGGTGGTGTGGTGGTGTGGTGGTGTGGTAGTGTGGTGGTGTGGTAGTGTGGTGGTGTGGTAGTGTGGTGGTGTGGTGGTGTGGTAGTGTGGTGGTGTGGTAGTGTGGTGGTGGTAGTGTGGTGGTGTGGTGGTGTGGTGGTGTGGTAGTGTGGTAGTGTGGTGGTGTGGTGTGTGGTGGTGTGTTAGTGTGGTAGTGTGGTGGTGTGGTAGCGGTGTGGTGGTGTGGTAGCGGTGTGGTGGTGTGGTGGTGTGGTAGTGTGGTGGGGTGGTGGTGTGGTGGTGTGGTGGTGTGGTGGTGTGGTGGTGTGGTAGTGTGGTGGTGTGGTAGTGGTGTTGTGGTGTGGTGGAGTGGTGGTGTGGTAGTGGTGTGCTAGTGTAGCGGCGTGGTGGTGTGGTAGCGGTGTGGTGGTGTGGTAGCGGAGTGGTGGTGTGGTAGCGGTGTAGTGGTGTGGTAGTGTGGTGGTGTGGTAGCGGCGTGGTGGTGTGGTAGTGTGGTAGTGGTGTGGTGGTGTGGCAGTGTGGTGGTGTGGTAGAGTGGTAGCGGCGTGGTGGTGTGGTAGAGTGGTAGTGGTGTGGTGGTGTGGCAGTGGTAGCGGCGTGGTGGTGTGGTAGTGTGGTATTGTGGTGGTGTGGTGGTGCGGTAGTGTGGTAGCGGCGTGGTGGAGCGGTAGTGGCATGGTGGTGTGGCAGGGTGGTAGTGGTGTGGTGGTGTGGCAGTGGTAGCGGCGTGGTGGTGCGGTAGCGGCGTGGTGGTGTGGCAGGGTGGTAACAGGGTGGTGGTGTGGTCGGAGTGGCAGGGTGGCAGGGTGGCGTGACAGGTTGGTGGCGGTGTGGTGGCAGTGGCATGACGGCATGGCGGTGGTGTGGCGTGGCGTGGTGTGGCGTGGTGGCGTGGCAGGGTGGTGGCGTAGCAGAGCGGTTGTGTGGCAAGGCAGTGGCGTGGCTTGGTGTGGTGTGGCAGAGCGGTGGCGTGGCAGGGCGGTGGTGGTGGCAGAGTGGTGGCGTGGCGTGGCGGCTGCGGCTCACTGATGGTGATGGTGTGGTGTGGTGCGGCTCACCGATGGTGATGGTGTGGTGTGGTGCGGCTCACCGATGGTGATGGTGTGGTGTGGTGTGGCTCACCGATGGTGATGGTGTGGTGTGGTGCGGCTCACCGATGGTGATGGCGAAGTTGACGCGGGCGTCGACGTCGTCGGCCCAGGGCTCCTTGGCAGGGAAGGTGTAGAGCAGCGGGAAGACGCCGCGGTAGAGGTGCGCCTGGCGCGCCGTCTGCGGCGTGCGCGTCACCGCCAGGATGGGGCAGCGGGGGCGGTACTTAGAGATGAGGTACGCAGACCTGCACGCCGGACGGGTGAGCGGAGCGGCGTGTTAGCTCGCGACGAGGTGGCGATGAGAACTGGTGGTGATGGTGGTGCTGGTGATGATAATGATGGTGCTGGTGCTGATGGTGGTGATGATGGTGATGATGGTGATGATGGCGGTGCTGGTGCTGATGGCGGTGCTGGTGATGATGGTGGTGCTGCTGATGATGGTGCTGGTGCTGATGGTGGTGCTGGTGATGATGATGGTGGTGCTGGTGATGATCCGAGACGCTGTTGCGAGCTTTCAGAAAACGCAGGCAAAGTGTTAGGGGTTCATCGACCAATCACCGGCGAGCCGCAAGCAGCCAGTTAAGCGGCAGCGCACTCAAGCGCCAGCGAGGTGAGCGGCAGAGCGGAGCGACTGGAGAGTCAGGGGGGGAGATGCAGGCGATGTCTCTCACACACACACACACACACGCACACGCAGATAGAGACATCAAAGATAAAGAGTCCCAGTATAGCATTCACAGACTGTTGGGGCAAGTGCTGTCCGCGTGCAGCACCTACGAAGGCTCGGCACGGCACGTGGCGATGTTTACACACCGCACCGGGTACTCAATTGAGGCCGAGTGGACCTAAGGGAGGCCCACAAGCGGTTTAGGTGGCCATGACCAGGAATTGAACTCGGGTGGCCAGGCCCGTAGCGCAGCGCGCTAACCGCTGCACCCCCGCTCCAACACCCAGGTGCACACACACAGAGACAGACGACAGAGACACACACACAGAGACAGACACACACAGACGAGACAGACACACACACGGACGAGACAGACACACACACGGACAGACGTACGTACTGAGAGTTGTCGAGCCGATTCCACCGTTAAAACGCGCAAGATGGAGGATGGAGAATTACTGAAGATGCGTTGGCAGAAGAAGTGTCGGGAGGAAGTCAGAGTTGAGAAGACCACAGGAAGGCGAAGATGACACTGCTACGCCGTGAGAAATAAGCGTCGACGGTGCGTAAACCATCCCAGCACTCCCCACACCTATGCCGATCACAAAGCCTCGGCACTCCTCAATAGCCCTGCCATAGAAAGGAACACCTAGATCTATCATTATATACATAATGGCTGACGTTTCGGGCAATGACCCTTCCACCCCTGGATCAGCTGATCGTCTTAACAGGCACCTGGGGTCGCCACCTTGGTTGCCCGCCAGGCCGGGCCGGGCCAGGCTCTGACGAGGCCTGCTGTATAATTTGAAGCCTGCATGTCTCTCTGTCTCTCTCATGTCTCAAGTCTGCATGTCTCTGTCTCTCTCATGTCTCTCTCATGTCTCAAGCCTGCATATCTCTCTGTCTCTCTCAAGTCTGCATGCCTCTCTGTCTCTCTGTCTCTCTCCCCGTGGCCGCGTGGAATTTTTAATCCAGGCGCCTCCGCTTTTTACCCCCTCTGCATTCAGAATCGACGTCGCGCGTTTTAGAGTCACGTGGCTGCTGCTATACATTTATCCGTGATGAGCGACTTGCTTGAAGCCATCGTTTGCGACGGCCAGGGTCGCTTCTGAAAGAGAGCTACATTAAGATTATCGCAGCTCAGGGTCGGGGGGGCCTTACACCCGGTAGAATAAAAACGTTTCAAAGTTTAGATTTAAAGCTTTCGTGACGGGGAGGGATTCCACATAACTTTGAGATCCTTCAACAAGCTCCGTGATAAGAAGGCTCAGCTAATCGAGTCTCTCACCTTTCTGAAGAGATGCCGCGACTCTAAGGTAATACCAAACGCATTTACACTAACATCTGCTGCTGTAAATTCGCATTCCTGCATTTCCCATAAATATGCTAAATTCCTCTTCATATGCAAATTCTTTTGTCAAGGTGCTCTTCCTCTTCCCTCCCAGCTTAAATAGACGCTCCAAGCCTAGGACGTGTCATTCAGACTCTGTCTTATCAACAGACGTGTTCTTCACCTGAGGACGGCTGCTTGCGTTGTGGCCGAAACGCCGTGAGAATTGTTTTATTATGTTTTATTTCTATTATTTTATTACTTCCCTTCTACGTGACTTTACCGGTCGTTTCAAAGGTTTCATCGTGTTTACCTTCCCGAATTGGAAATGGCTACGATGGCACTGGCGCGGCACTTGAAGGAGGCCTCGACGGCGCCCACGGCCGTGGCCTCCGAGGGGTCGCGAGTCTCCGGCGACAGGCGGCGGATCTCCTCAAACAGCTGGCTGTGGAACATCACCGCCTCCGCCTCCCGCGCAATCTATGGGGGGCCGCGCGGGGGGGTGGGGGGGGCGGGGTTGGGGGGGGCGGTGGTGGTGGGAGGTGGTTTGCTGATGATGATGGGCGGAGAGGGTGGTGATGATGATGATGATGGGCGGAGAGGGTGGTGGTGGTGATGATGTTCGTGGTGGTGATGATGATGGGCGGAGAGGGTGGTGATGATGATGATGATGGGCGGAGAGGGTGGTGGTGGTGATGATGTTCGTGGTGGTGATGATGATGGGCGGAGAGGGTGGTGATGATGATGATGATGGGCGGAGAGGGTGGTGGTGGTGATGATTTTCGTGGTGGTGATGATGATGGGCGGAGACAGCGGTGGTGGTGGTGGAGGTGTTGATGTGAGTATTATATTGACAACACTGCCACATTCCATGGCAATGTCGAATTGCCAGCAACTCCTTTGGGCAGAGAAGATGCTCCGGACATTTTTCTTTTCCTGTTCGAATTCGATTTTTGACTTGAATTTGTTTTTTTCTACGCAGGAAAAAACAAACATGGCCGCCCGTAATCCCGGGCACGCGTTGCTTCACAGCGAGTGACGTCACTTCCTGTGGAGTCACTTTGGGGTGACATCACTTCCTCTCCAGGCAGCTGCAGGCACATGCTCGCGGCACCAACAAAAAACACAAAATCAAGCCACAAACGACGCAATCCAAAGGGGGCAGCAACAACAACAACACAAAGCAACGTGCAAAAATAACACTCCGCCCCGTGGCATCTCACACACCCCCCCCCCGTGCATCGTCGGCAGCCGCCCCCCCCTCTCCCCAAACAACTGCACCAGCAGCACCATGCAGCCCCGCCGCTGGGGGCGAGGGGGGGGCGCTACCTTCCGCTGGTGGTGAGGACCACAATGGCCGAGGCGGTGCTCTTGAAGGAGGCCTCGACGGCGCCAATAGCGACCGTCTCGGTGGGGTCGTGAGTGGCGTGCGTGGCGTGACGCAGGTCGTCAAACACCTGGCGGTGGTACATGCAGGCCTCCGCCTCGCGGGCAATCTGCCCCAGGGGAGCCCCGCCAACCACCGCCACCACCACCACCGCCAACAACCGCCGCCAACCACCGGCCACAACAGAAGCAGCCGGGTTAATCGTGGGGGGAAGACGACCGGGAGAAAATCGGTTTCAATGAGATGACGATTTGGTTGCTCGTGTGGCTGTCCGAGCGAGCGAGCCATCGGTGTGCTGCGAGCTCCGATGTCCGAGTGGCATCTTCGTCACCCCGCTTGACTCACTCGCCCACTCAACCACTCACACAATTAGCCTCCACCCACCCACCCACGCAGAGACCCACACACCCACTTGCGTGCTCACACATTCACACTCTTACAAGCTTACGGATCTACCAGTGATACACCCACCCACCAAACCCACCCACCCACCAAACCCACCCACCAAACCCACCCAACCAAACCCACCCACCCAAACCCAAGCCCATCCACACCCACCCAACCAAACCCACCCACCCAAACCCAAGCCCATCCACACCCGCCCACACCCACCACGTCCCACCCACCCCGTCCCACCCCGCCCACCCACGCCCCACCCGCCCCGCCCACCCACCCCACCCCGCCCCACCCACCCCACCCCGCCCCGCCCCACCCACCGCGTGCTGGGTGCGCACGGCCTCCAGGGGGTAGTCTCCCTTGGCCGTCTCCCCGCTCAGCATGATGCAGTCGGCGCCGTCCAGCACAGCGTTGGCCACGTCGCTGCTCTCCGCGCGAGTAGGCCGAGGCTTCTTGATCATGCTCTCCAGCATCTACGCACACGCACGGACAGCACAGCACGCACGCGGACAACACAGCACGCACGCGGACAACACAGCACGCACGCGGACAACACAGCACGCACGCGGACAGCAGAGCACGCACGCGGACAACACAGCACGCACGCGGACAGCAGAGCACGCACGCGGACAGCAGAGCACGCACGCGGACAACACAGCACGCACGCGGACAACACAGCACGCACGCGGACAGCAGAGCACGCACGCGGACAACACAGCACGCACGCGGACAGCAGAGCACGCACGCGGACAGCAGAGCACGCACGCGGACAACACAGCACGCACGCGGACAACACAGCACGCACGCGGACAGCAGAGCACGCACGCGGACAACACAGCACGCACGCGGACAACACAGCACGCACGCGGACAGCAGAGCACGCACGCGGACAACACAGCACGCACGCGGACAGCAGAGCACGCACGCGGACAGCAGAGCACGCACGCGGACAACACAGCACGCACGCGGACAACACAGCCACGCACGACGCGGACAGCAGAGCACGCACGCGGACAACACAGCACGCCGCGGACAACACAGCACACCGCACGCGACAGCAGAGCACGCACGCGGACAGCAGAGCACGCACGCGGACAGCAGAGCACGCACGCGGACAGCAGAGCACGCACGCGGACAGCAGAGCACGCACGCGGACAGCAGAGCAAGCGTGCGTTATGCATTGGCTGGGGACTTGGATAGGGAGGGGGTGGGCAAGTTAACGAACAAGTGAGCGAGCGACCGAGTGAATGGCGAACAAGTGAGCGAGCGACCGAGTGAATTGGCGAACAAGTGAGCGAGCGACCGAGTGAATTGGCGAACAAGTGAGCGAGCGACCGAGTGAATTGGCGAACAAGTGAGCGAGCGACCGAGTGAATTGGCGAACAAGTGAGCGAGCGACCGAGTGAATTGGCGAACAAGTGAGCGAGCGACCGAGTGAATTGGCGAACAAGTGAGCGAGCGACCGAGTGAATTGGCGAACAAGTGAGCGAGCGACCGAGTGAATTGGCGAACAAGTGAGCGAGCGACCGAGTGATTGGCGAACAAGTGAGCGAGCGAGCCGAGTGAATTGGGCGAACAAGTGAGCGAGCGACTGAGTGAATTGGCGAAACAAGTGAGCGAGCGACCGAGTGAATTGGCGAACAAGTGAGCGAGCGACCGAGTGAATTGGCGAACAAGTGAGCGAGCGACCGAGTGAATTGGGCGAACAAGTGAGCGAGCGACCGAGTGAATTGGCGAACAAGTGAGGCGAGCGACCGAGGGAATTGCGAACTAAGTGAGCGAGCGACCGAGTGAATTGGCGAACAATGTGTGAGGCGAGCACCGAGTGAATTGGCGAACAAGTGAGCGAGCGACCGAGTGAATTGGCGGACAGTGAGCGAGCGACCGAGTGAATTGCGAACAAGCGAGCGAGCGACCGAGTGAATGGGCGAACAAGTTGAGCGAGCGAACCGAGTGAATTGGGCGGAAACAAGTGAGCGAGGCGACTGAGTGAAATTGGCGGAACAAGCTGAGCGAGGGCGACTGAGTGAATTGGCGAACAAGTGAGCGAGCGACTGAGTGAATTGGCGGAACAAGTGAGCGCGACTGAGTGAATTGGCGAACTGAGCGAGCGACTGAGTGAATTGGCGAACAAGTGAGCGAGCGACCGAGTGAATTGGCGAACAAGTGAGCGAGCGACTGAGTGAATTGGCGAACAATGAGCGAGCGACCGAGTGAATTGGCGAACAAGTGAGCGAGCGACCGAGTGAATTGGCGACAAGTGAGCGAGCGACTGAGTGAATTGGCGAACAAGTGAGCGAGCGACCGAGTGAATTGGCGAACAAGTGAGCGAGCGACCGAGTGAATTGGCGACAAGTGAGCGCGACTGAGTGAATTGGCGAACAAGTGAGCGAGCGACTGAGTGAATTGGCGAACAAGTGAGCGACGACCGGTGAATTGGCGAACAAGTGAGCGAGCGACCGAGTGAATTGGCGAACAAGTGAGCGAGCGACTGAGTGAATTGGCGAACAAGTGAGCGAGCGACCGAGTGAATTGGCGAACAAGTGAGCGAGCGACCGAGTGAATTGGCGACAAGTGAGCTGAGCGACTGAGTGAATTGGCGAACAAGTGAGCGAAGCGACCTGAGTGAATTGGGCGAACAGTGGCGAGCGACCGAGTGAAGTGGCGGAACAAGTGAGCGAGGCAGACTGAGTGAATTGGCGAACAAGTGGAGCGAAGCGACTGAGTGGAATGTGGCGAAACAAGTGAGCGAGCCGACCGAGTGAATTGGCGAACAAGTGAGCGAGCGAACCGAGTGAAATTGGCGGACAAGTTAGCGAGCCGACTGAGTGAATTGGCGAACAAGTGAGCGATGCGACTTGAAGTGATTGGCGAACAAGTGGATGCGCCGACAGAGTGAATTGGCGAACAAGTGAGCGAAGCCGACCTGAGGTGAATTGGCGTGGAACAGTGTAGCGAGCGACTGAGTGAATTGGCGAACGAAGTGAGCGAGCGACCTGAGTGAATGGGCGAACAAGTGTAGCGAGCGACCGAGTGAATTGGCGGACAGTGAGGCGAGCGACCTGAGTGAATTGGACGAACAAGTGAGCGAGCGCCTGAGTGGATTGGCGAACAAGTGAGCGAGCGACCGAGTAATTGGCGAACAAGTGAGCGAGCGACTGAGTGAATTGGCGAACAAGTGAGCGAGCGACTGAGTGAATTGGCGAACAAGTGAGCGAGCGACTGAGTGAATTGGCGAACAAGTGAGCGAGCGACCTGAGTGAATTGGCGAACAAGTGAGCGAGCGACTGAGTGAATTGGCGAACAAGTGAGCGAGCGACCTGAGTGAATTGGCGAACAAGTGAGCCGAGCGACCGAGTGAATTGGCGAACAAGTGAGCGAGCGACCGAGTGAATTGGCGAACAAGTGAGCGAGCGACTGAGTGAATTGGCGAACAAGTGAGCGAGCGACTGAGTGAATTGGCGAACAAGTGAGCGAGCGACCGAGTGAATTGGCGAACAAGTGAGCGAGCGACCGAGTGAATTGGCGAACAAGTGAGCGAGCGACCTGAGTGAATTGGCGAACAAGTGAGCGAGCGACTGAGTGAATTGGCGAACAAGTGAGCGAGCGACTGAGTGAATTGGCGAACAAGTGAGCGAGCGACCGAGTGAATTGGCGAACAAGTGAGGCGAGCGACCGAGTGAATTGGCGAACAAGTGAGCGAGCGACCGAGTGAATTGGCGAACAAGTGAGCGAGCGACTGAGTGAATTGGCGAACAAGTGGAGTAGAGCGACTGAGTGAATTGGCGAACAAGTGAGCGAGCGACCGAGGGAATTGGCGAACAAGTGAGCGAGCGACCTGAGTGAATTGGCGAACAAGTGAGCGAGCGACTGAGTGAATTGCGAACAGTGAGCGAGCGACCGAGTGAATTGGCGAACAAGTTGAGCGAGCGACTGAGTGAATTGGCGAACAAGTGAGCGAGCGACTGAGTGAATTGGCGAACAAGTGAGCGAGCGACTGAGTGAATGGCGAACAAGTGAGCGAGCGACGAGTGAATTGGCGAACAAGTGAGCGAGCGACTGAGTGAATTGGCGAACAAGTGAGCGAGCGACTGAGTGAATTGGCGAACAAGTGAGCGAGCGACCGAGTGAATTGGCGCAACAGTGAGCGAGCGACTGAGTGAATTGCGAACAAGTGAGCGAGCGACTGAGTGAATTGGCGAACAAGTGAGCGAGCGACCGCGTGAATTGGCGAACAGTGAGCGAGCGAACCGAGGTTGAATTGGCGACAAGTGAGCGAGCGACTGAGTGAATTGGCGAACAAGTGGAGCGAGCGCTGAGTGAATTGGCGAACAAGTGAGCGAGCGACCGAGTGAATTGGCGAACAAGTGAGCGAGCGAACCGAGTGAATTGGAGTGAACAAGTCGAGCGAAGCGACTGAGTGCAATTGAGTGAACAAGTGAGCGAAGCGACCTGAGTGGAATTGGCGAACAAGTGAGCGAGCGACCGGAGTGACATTGAGTGAACAAGTGGAGCAAGGCGACCGAGTGAATGAGCGGACAAGTGAGCCGAGCGACCTGAGTGAATGAGTGCGACAAGTGAGGCCGAGCGACCTGAGTGAATGAGTGAACAAGTGAGCGAAGCGACCGAGTGAATTGAGTGAACAAGTGAGCGGAGCGACCGAGTGGAATTGGCGAACAAGTGAAGCGAGCGACCGAAGTGAATTGGCCGAACAAGTGAGGCGAGCGACTGAGTGAATTGGCGAATCAAGTGAGCGAGCGACCGAGTGAATTGGCGAACAATGAGCGAGCGACTGAGTATGGGCGTAACAAGTGAGCGAGCGACCGGGGAGTGAATAGTGCGAACAAGTGAGCGGCGACCGAGTGAATTGGCGGAACAAGTGAGCGAAGCGAACCGAGTGAATAGTGGCGAACAAGCAAGTGAGCGAGCGACCGAGTGAATGGCGAACAAGTGAGCGAGCGACTGAGTGAATTGGCGAAGCAAGTGAGCGAGCGACTGAGTGAATTGGCGAACAAGTGAGCGAGCGACTGAGTGAATTGGCGAACAAGTGAGCGAGCGACTGAGTGAATTGGCGAACAAGTGAGCGAGCGACTGAGTGAATTGGCGAACAAGTGAGCGAGCGACCGAGTGAATTGGCGAACAAGTGAGCGAGCGACTGAGTGAATTGGCGAACAAGTGAGCGAGCGACTGAGTGAATTGGCGAACAAGTGAGCGAGCGACCGAGTGAATTGGCGAACAAGTGAGCGAGCGACCGAGTGAATTGGCGGACAAGTGAGCGAGCGACCGAGTGAATTGGCGAACAAGTGAGCGAGCGACTGAGTGAATTGGCGAACAAGTGAGCGAGCGACTGAGTGAATTGGCGAACAAGTGAGCGAGCGACTGAGTGAATTGGCGAACAAGTGAGCGAGCGACTGAGTGAATTGGCGAACAAGTGAGCGAGCGACCGAGTGAATTGGCGAACAAGTGAGCGAGCGACCGAGTGAATTGGCGAACAAGTGAGCGAGCGACTGAGTGAATTGGCGAACAAGTGAGCGAGCGACTGAGTGAATTGGCGAACAAGTGAGCGAGCGACTGAGTGAATTGGCGAACAAGTGAGCGAGCGACCGAGTGAATTGGCGAACAAGTGAGCGAGCGACTGAGTGAATTGGCGAACAAGTGAGCGAGCGACCGAGTGAATTGGCGAACAAGTGAGCGAGCGACTGAGTGAATTGGCGAACAGTGAGCGGCGACCGAGTGAATGAGTGAACAAGTGAGCGAGCGACCGAGTGAATTGGCGGACAAGTGAGCGAGCGACCGAGTGAATTGGCGAACAAGTGAGCGAGCGACTGAGTGAATTGGCGAACAAGTGAGCGAGCGACTGAGTGAATGGCGAACAAGTGAGCGAGCGACTGAGTGAATTGGCGAACAAGTGAGCGAGCGACTGAGTGAATTGGCGAACAAGTGAGCGAGCGACTGAGTGAATTGGCGAACAAGTGAGCGAGCGACCGAGTGAATTGGCGAACAAGTGAGCGAGCGACTGAGTGAATTGGCGAACAAGTGAGCGAGCGACTGAGTGAATTGGCGAACAAGTGAGCGAGCGACTGAGTGAATTGGCGAACAAGTGAGCGAGCGACCGAGTGAATGAGTGGACAAGTGAGCAAGCGACCGAGTGAATGAGTGGACAAGTGAGCAAGCGACCGAGTGAATTGGCGAACAAGTGAGCGAGCGACTGAGTGAATGAGTGGACAAGTGAGCGAGCGACTGAGTGAATTGGCGAACAAGTGAGCGAGCGACCGAGTGAATTGGCGAACAAGTGAGCGAGCGACCGAATGAATGAGTGGACAAGTGAGCAAGCGACCGAGTGAATTGGCGAACAAGTGAGCGAGCGACCGAATGAATTGGCGAACAAGTGAGCGAGCGACCGAGCGAACGAGTGGACAAGCGAGTGGGCGGGGAGGGACGGGGCGGGCACCTGGGTGGCACAGATGATCGGCTTGCCGATGCGGTTGCATCGCCCGATCATCATCTTCTGCGCGATGAAGACCTTCTCCGTGGGGATCTCGATGCCCAGGTCGCCACGCGCCACCATGATGCCGTCGCTCGCCTCCAGCACCTCGTCGAACCTCGTCGGAGAGAATCGCCGACACCGCACGCACCGTCACTACAACTAAACTCGAACCGAGAGCTTTTTATTCGCCCGTTAAAGCTCCCACCGAGCGACAGTTCTTTTTCAGAGGTGACCTGGCAATCATCACAAACGACAGCTCAACGAAGCGGGCTTATCGTAGTCGTCGTCACGGAGACGCGTGACGTCGATGAAAAAAATTAGGACAGAAATACCGGAGGACCCGGAGAAACATCCACGCGGCATCGGGCGCTTTTGTGACCGTCTGGAACGCTCTTCCTTCCAACGCATCTGGAAGCCACCGGGAGCTATGGCACTTTTAAATAATCATCATCCAGATTCACAAACTCATTTCTTTAGAACTGCTGCTTGTTGTTGTGTTTAGTTGGTTGTCCTTCACCCCCCCCCCCCCGCCGCACCTACGATGAGCACGGTTGGCTACGTAGGGTGCGAAAGAAGTTCAATGTACACACACATTGCAATCGCGCTGCGATCGGGCCGAATGGCGCCAACGAGGAATTATCGTTTCCTAGCGTCGATTTGTCTCCGTCAAATATTTTCCCCGCTTCTCGTTCGACGGTGCGGCCAGCTTTCTCGCCGATTTAAAGCATTCCGCTTCGTCGCCGCGCTTTTGAACGTTATTCGTTGTGGAGACGAGCCGGCTCACTCCTGCGAAAGAAACTCTCCCACGCCGGTCTCTTAGAAGCGTTCTCACCCCGTGGGACGCCACAAACTTGAACCGCCGCCTCTCCCCATTTTCATGTCCATCGGCACGATCGCTCACACGTTGGCCACTCTTCAGCACAACAACTCGCGATCTTTACCACATCGCCATCTTTAGAGCTCACCATCCCCGCTCACCGCCCCGTGCCTCCGAACCTGCACACCCACTCGCCACCCCACTCACCGCCCGCTCACCACCCCCTCACCCCGTCACTCATTCGCCCCCGCCACCATCGCCCCCGCCACCATCGCCCCCGCCACCATCGCCCCCGCCACCATCGCCCCCGCCACCATCGCCCCCGCCACCATCGCCCCCGCCACCATCGCCCCCGCCACCATCGCCCCCGCCACCATCGCCCCCGCCACCATCGCCCCCGCCACCATCGCCCCCGCCACCATCGCCCCCGCCACCATCGCCCCCGCCACCATCGCCCCCGCCACCATCGCCCCCGCCACCATCGCCCCCCGCCACCATCGCCCCCGCCACCATCGCCCCCGCCACCATCGCCCCCGCCACCATCGCCCCCGCCACCATCGCCCCCGCCACCATCGCCCCCGCCACCATCGCCCCCGCCACCATCGCCCCCGCCACCATCGCCCCCGCCACCATCGCCCCCGCCACCATCGCCCCCGCCACCATCGCCCCCGCCACCATCGCCCCCGCCACCATCGCCCCCGCCACCATCGCCCCCGCCACCATCGCCCGCGCCACCATCGCCCCCGCCCCCATCGCCCCCGCCCCATCGCCCGCGCCACCATCGCCCCGCGCCACCATCGCCCGCGCCACCATCGCCCCCGCCACCATCGCCCCCGCCACCATCGCCCCCGCCACCCTCACCTGCGCACGCCCTCGTGGTTCTCGATCTTGCTGATGATGAGGATGTGCTTCCCCTTTTCGCCGAGCACGGCGCGCACCGCGTGCACGTCGGCCGCCTTGCGGATGAAGGAGGCGAACACCATGTCCACGCCCTGCTCCACGCCGAACTTCAGGTCTCCGATGTCCTTCTCCGAGATGGCCGGCAGGTCGACTGCCACGCCGGGCAGGTTCACGCCCTTCTTGCTGCCCAGCGTGCCGCCGTTCTCCACCTCGGTGATCATGAAGTCCTTCCCTGGGGGGGGGCGGCGCGAAACGTCAGACGTTGTGCGGCCGAACGAACGCGGACCGGACGGACGAGGCGTCGCTGTGGGAGAGACCTGGGCTGCCGTGGACGGAGGTAGGCAGACAGCCGCTAAACTTTCACCGGTCAGTGGCTCATGGCGGCGGTGGCCTAGGTAGGCAAGGCCTTCGTCCAGGAGGTGGAGAGACCACGACTCATGATGATGATGATGATGGAGGCCTGCGTAGGCCTCCATGTAGCAGTGGAGAGAGACCACGACGATGATGACAGTGGTGATGATGATGGCGGCGATGATAATTATAATTCCATGCGTAAAGCAGCTTTTAATCAAGGATATATGAAAGCGCTGTACAGGACACAGCAGCAGCAGACACTCGGCATAAAAATAAGATTAATACATGTTAAGAATCATTTACTCAATTAACGAAAAGTTTAATAAGCGAAAACGTATGATGACGAGGGTGGTGATGACGACGGTAGTGATGACGGTGATGATACTAATAGAGTTTTCCCCCTTTTTTTTCTGGCAACAAAACTGACACCTTTTGCAAGGAATCATGCTCACATTAACCACAATACTTGCAGTCAAATGCAAACAAAAAACAATATTCTGATAATTTATGCATTGTCCTTGAATCTGATTGGTCCACACCAGAGACAGCTTTCTTTAGAGCCTAGTCTCATATGGTGTTCGACCAGATGACGCAGTCAAATGTTTGCATTTGACTGCAAGTATTGTGGTTAATGTAAGCATGATTCCTTGCAAAAGGTGTCAGTTTTGTTGCCAGAAAAAAGGGGAAAAACCCTATTAGTTTATTTTGGTACTGGCAAAGGGGGTCCCATGATGACGGCGATGATGTTGGTGGTGATGACGGTGGTGATGATGATGGTGGTGATGACGGTGGTGATGTTGGTGGTGATGACGGTGATGATGATGGTGGTGATGACGGTGGCGATGACGACGGTGATGATGTTGGTGGTGATGACGACAATGTTGGTGATGATGACGGCGGCGATGATGACGATGACGGTGGTGATGACGGTGGCGATGACGGTGGCGATGACGGCGGTGATGACGACGACGCGACAGGCATCGGCAGCGGAGCGAGCGAGCGCGTCACCACCGCCACCGCTCACTCACCCTTCTCCTTGACGCAGAGCGAGATGAGTCCGTCGTCCACGTACACCTTGTTGCCGACCTCGATCACCTTGAGCAGGTTCTTGTAGTCCACCCACAGGGTGTGCTCGTCGCACTTGTCCATGAAGGCGTCGTCCAGCGTCACCTTGAGCGTGGCGCCCTTCTTCAGCTCCACCTCCGCCGTGCCGCTCTGGACAGAAGACAAAAAATTAACCCGTAAAAATAAAGTTTTTCACTATAAATCCTTTATATGCGTGGCATCGGTTTTATTTTATTATTAATTTCTGTTCTTCTTGAGAAAGAGTTTCATTTTGATCACATTGGTATTTTAAATTAAATATGCATTTTTTTTTTTCCTAAAAAGTGGAAATTTTTGGAAATTTTTTTTCACGAAAATAAATTGTCACGCACAACGAGTCTGTGTGCAAAATGTCAGCTCGATTGGATCACGGGAAGTGGGTTAAAAAACGACCGAAAGATTTGCACGGTCGTAAGCGCGCAAGCAAGCAAGCAAGTGAACTTAATATAAAGGATTTAAAAAGGGGATCGGCTTTCTCTCCCGCCGTGCGGCGGTCCCGGCAGTGCGTCGGGGCAAGCGCTGTGACGTTATAGATCTATGGTGTCAAAGTATGGACAAGTAATTAGAAGTCTCACTATGAGACATCTCCTTTACTAGTGGCAAAATATAGTAGTAGGTTTTTACCCTTTAAACTGGTACAAAACTGACACCTTTATATACTCTGATAGTGCACTGTCTTTGAGTTGTACGCCTTTTGGCGTCATCTGGTCCAACACCAATGGAGACTAGGCTCTAAGAAAAGCTGTCTCGGGTGTGGACCAATCAACTCCAAGGACAGTGCATATCATTACCATTATCAGAGTTGTTTCTTTTTGTTTGCATTTTGACTGCTTGTGTTGCGGTTATTGCAAACATGATACCTTGTATAAAGGTGTCAGTTTTGTACCAGTTTAAAGGGTAAAAACCTACTACTATAATTAGAAGTCTTTCTAGATTTGAAGCTTTCGTGACTGCAAGGATTTATACTCTTAGGTTTTTCGGTAAAGTCACGTAGGTAAAAAATAATAGAAATAATAGAAATAAAATAATAAATCACGACGTTTCGGAGGCAACACAAGTCTCCGTCATTAGGTGGGACCGTCACAGCCAGATTTACTGTCTCAAGTTGTCTCAAGTGAGACAGTAAATCTAGCTGTGACGGTCCCACCTGATGACGGAGACTTGCGTTGTCTCCGAAACGTCGTGATTTATTATTTTATTTCTATTATTTTTTATTTTTACCTACGTGACTTTACCGAACAACCTAAGAGTATAATTAGAAGTCTGGTTTTAGGTTTTTTTACCTTTTCTGGCAATAAAACAGCCGGAGTTGCAAGGCATTGAGTCTGCATTGGTGGTGGTGGTGGGAGGGGGTGCAGGGTGGGTGCAGGGTGGGGGGCCTCGGGGAAAGGTGCAGAATTGAAGGGGAGCCCTTACCCCCTTAATGAGCCCGGTGCGGATCTCGGGGCCCTTGGTGTCGAGGGCGATGCCCACGGGCAGGTAGTTGTAGGGGTCCTTGGCCAAGCTCTCCGTGGCCGCGCGCACATTCTTGATCGTCTCCGCGTGGTACTGCAAACACACGCACAGGCAAAGATCCCCCGTGTAGCCTCAACAGACCGTTGGGGAAAGTGCTGCGCTGGAGTAGCACCGACGAAGGCCGGCAACACGCCCGCAGTCGTCACGGGGACCGTCCACCGCCCTCCCCTTGCTCACTGCAAGGTCACCCGGAGGTCACGGGCAGCTCTAGACGACAACCACCGCCGTTTGTCGCAGAGATTCGGGGGTTCGAATTCCAGTGGCCGCCCTGGTTAATCCCACGGTGGTGGTTTGTACAAATGTAATACTGTTACTACGACTACCACGACTACGAATACTACTACTACGCGCCGTCCGCTTTGCTCACGGGGGGACATTAAAAGATTATCGTGGACATTGTTTTTTTATTTCCCACCGAAGAGCTTCATAGCTCATCGGATTCCTGCCAGCCGAGATGAAGATTCCGATTCCGATGTTCAGCAAGAGCGGGGCATCGTGCGTCCGCGTCACGGTTTCCGCGCTTGGTCAAATTTGAAAAACGTCACCCTCGGTTGGGATCGCACAGGGCGGCAATCCTCCGATTCCGTTCCCATGGCTAGTCTCGGCACGATTTGCCAGGAGCAGTGGTTCTCCCTAACCTGGGGGGGGCATCTCGCACCCACCTGGGGGTGGTGGCCAAGTGGGGGGGTGGTGGCCAAGTGGGGGGGTGGTGGCCAAGTGGGGGGGTGGTGGCCAAGTGGGGGGGTGGTGGCCAAGTGGGGGGGTGGTGGCCAAGTGGGGGGGTGGTGGCCAAGTGGGGGGGTAATGGCCAAGTGGGGGGGTGGTGGCCAAGTGGGGGGGTGGTGGCCAAGTGGGGTGGTGGTGGCCAAGTGGGGGGGTGGTGGCCAAGTGGGGGGTGGTGTCGTGCTGCCGTGCGATTCCAAAAAGGAGGAATTTTCAGCGTCATTTGAGAAAGTGCCGAACGCGGCACCACCACGGCCACGCCGGGGGCCGCAGTGGCCGGGACTCTTTGCCAACGACGTCACACCGGGATCTCCTTTTTTTACATTTAAATAAAATCAAATTGCCACGCGGGGATCTTTTAACGTCCACTGCAGAAATTAAGCGGACGGCGCTTGCAACGGTTCGTGCACAACGGCGGCATTCACCGGGGCGGCCGCCGCATTTGAACCCCGCGACACAGCGGCGAACGCGCTCCAACCGCAGAGCGGTGACAACGAGGAGGGGGAGGGGGGGGGAGGAGGAGGGGGGGAGGAGAAGGGGGAGGAGGAGGGGGAGGAGGTTGATGAGGAGCAGGTGGAGGTGAAGGAGGTGGAGGAGGGGGAGAAGGGGGAGCGGGAGGAGGAGGGGGAGGAAGGAGCCGATCATACGAGCGGCGTCATCGTCGTCGCCGCGGTGACTCTCTGGAGCCGCCTGCGACCTCCCCACGACCTTCAAGGAGCAGCAGCAGCAGCAGACTCCTTGAAGGTCGCGGGGAGAGGGGGGGGGGGCGGTGGTGGCGACGGACGTGCGGCCAACGCGGCTAAAATCGGCATCGCGACACCCGAGCCCCTTGCATTCCGGGGCGGGCAACGGGGAAACCGGGCAACCCTGGGTCTCAGCCCCCCCCACCCACCCAACACCACTCCACCCCCACCACACCTACCACCACACAACCTCACCACCACCTCACTCCCACCACCACCTCCTCACTCCCACCACCTCCTCACTCCCACCACCACCTCACGCCCACCATCACCTCACTCCCACCACCACCAGCCTAACACCACCCCCTACACTCCACCACCCCCAGGGATCACCCCCACCCCTCCCCCCACCACCTCGACCCCCCATGACCTTCAGGCGTCCGATCAATTTAAACGTCCAAATCACAGCGGGAGACACCGTGGCCGACGCAGCCGATTGGCGAACGTTCCCCGGTTGGGGCCGAAATTTTGTTTTCCTCTGCGCGTTTGAGGCCGAGGAGCAGCCCTGCAACTGCCGGCTTGCATCACCGCTGGCGGGAAAAGGGGGGGGGGGGGTAAAGCCTCCGCTAGAGGCCGCTCTAGCGGACTTCTCTTCGCACACTGTACATCACCTGCAGTGCTGAGTCTGTGGGCAGTGTTGAGTCTGTGGGCAGTGTTGAGTCTGTGGGCAGTGTTGAGTCTATGGGCAGTGTTGAGTCTATGGGTAGTGTTGAGTCTATGGGTACTGTTGAGTCTGTGGGCAGTGTTGAGTCTATGGGCAGTGTTGAGTCTATGGGCAGTGTTGAGTCTGTGGGCAGTGTTGAGTCTATGGGCAGTGTTGAGTCTATGGGCAGTGTTGAGTCTATGGGCAGTGTTGAGTCTATGGGTACTGTTGAGTCTGTGGGCAGTGTTGAGTCTATGGGCAGTGTTGAGTCTATGGGCAGTGTTGAGTCTATGGGCAGTGTTGAGTCTATGGGTAGTGTTGAGTCTATGGGCAGTGTTGAGTCTATGGGCAGTGTTGAGTCTATGGGCAGTGTTGAGTCTATGGGCAGTGTTGAGTCTATGGGTAGTGTTGAGTCTATGGGAAGTGTTGAGTCTATGGGCAGTGTTGAGTCTATGGGCAGTGTTGAGTCTATGGTGCAGTGTTGAGTCTATGGGTAGTGTTGAGTCTATGGGCAGTGTTGAGTCTATGGGCAGTGTTGAGTCTATGGTGCAGTGTTGAGTCTATGGGTAGTGTTGAGTCTATGGGTAGTGTTGAGTCTGTGGGCAGTATGTATGGATGTAGAACTTCTTTCGCACCATACGTAGCAAACCGTGCTAAAAATCGGAGGTGCAAGGCCAGAACACCTTGAAATGAGGCGGGAGTTACCCACAATTCACCTCACCCCCCACCACACTCACAACCTGCCAATAATGGGACTCGCCGTGGCCGTGCCAGCTCGCGCTGCTGGGGGGCGTCAGGGGTGGATTCAGGAACCAAGCCGCCCCCCCCCATCGTGTCAACCGCCACGTCGGCCGGGAGATGGAGTCGAACCGGGACACCCCTTTGGATCGCGAGTCCGGCAACGCCGCTCACCGTGACGACGACGACGACGACACCGCCGCTGCCGTGGCAACCGCGTCTCGTAACGAGCGATCGCTCATCGCGAACCGCTCGCTGACAATGGGCTAGGCCCCCCCCCACCCCACTCTGAGCTCCCCCCCACCCCCCAGCCCCTCCCCCCATCCCCTACCCACTCCCCCCCCCCCCAAGTCCAGCACCTCGCGTTACCTCGGACGCGCCGTTTGCCATTCGCCCAAAGCCGCCGAAAATAACCGCGGCCATTCCGTGCGGTCGGGTTCGGCAAATCGGAAAGGTCAGGCGGCACGGCACCATCGCTCAGCGTCGCCAATCACCGTCGCTCACCACCACTCACCACCACTCGCCACCGCTCACCGTCACTCACCACCGCCCGCCGTGACTCGCCGTGACTCGCAATCGGCGCTCACCATCACCGTCGCACACAGTCGCCCACTGCATTTTCCACGTTACTTTACCGGAACTGGACTATTAACACAATCGGGCTGCGACTCCGCACAATCCCGCGAAGCGCACGCGGCAGGGTGACGTCACGAGGTGCTGCTTGGGTTTACTCCGGGCTCTCCGGCTCCTCCACAGCCAAGGCGCGACGGGGCACCCCGGTGCGACAGGGCACCCCGGTGCGACGGGGCACCCCGGTGCGACGGGGCACCCCGGTGCGACGGGGCACCCCGGTGCGACGGGGCACCCCGGTGCGACGGGGCGCCCAAGACAAACGTCCCGCCTGGGACAGGACCCCTCCCTGCCAGGGTGCAAGCTCGGCACGGCCCCACCCGGTGGCTGGGAGATGTGAACAACCTCGCCTGGTCTACGGGAGGTCGTGGGTACGATCCCGACCTTGGGCGCCTGCTGCTGTGTATTTGGAGTTTGCGTGTCTCTCCCTCTCTCCCTCCCTCCCTCTCTCGCTCTTCACGTGGTCGCGTGGATCTCTCCCGGGTTCTCTCGTTTCTCTCTCCATATTTAGAACCGACATGACACGTTTAGATTATGCGGCTGATATTGATGTCATCTCCCTCGCCTGGTATTCAGAAGGTCGTGGGGTCCATCCCAACCCGGATGCCTGCTGCTGTATATTTGGAGTTTGCGTGTCCTCCGGGATTTCCCTCCACATTTAGAATCGACGCGTTTTTGGGTGTTTAGCTGCTGCCATCAGTTCCCACACGATGGTGACGATGGTAACGATGATGACGATGATGACAATGATGACAATGATGACGATGATGATGATGATGACGATGATGACGATGATGAGCTCTACTTCCTCGGGCTATCATCGGCAATAACCAGGTCGCTTCTGAAAAAGAACCACATGGCTCAGTGGGACCTTACCTGGTAATATAAAATAAAATAGTTGAATATGGAAGGAGACTGAAGATCATAACCGCGATCGCCCACGCGGCACGGACTAATCTTGCTACCATAGCAACGGGCGTCCCATCGTGACCAGCCATCATCTATCCACTGCTGGTGCCCCAGGAACTATTCAGACGTCACCTCGTCACCGATGTTCGGCCTAAAAACGCCGGGAGAAGCACAATGGCCGATCACTGCGCCACCGCTCCACCCCTCCCGCCCCGCCCCAACCGGCGGCTCCTCTGCTCGCGACGTAGCCCTCCCACGCGTAGCATTCAATGGTTCCCCTGCACGGTATCCACGCCGCAGCCTTGCACACAGCGCCCAGCACACGCCCCTAAGGGGGCCGTGGCCACGTCAGTCTGCAGGAGGCTCGAGTCCTCGCCGCCATCGCCACCCAAGCCGCCCTCGCTAAACCGGCAGGAATCTAGCGGGAGGGAGGGAGGGGTGGTCGGAGGCGACGGTGGGGGTGGAGGAGGGTGGGGGGAGGGGGGGAGTGTGGCCCCGTGCCAATGCAAGGGTGGCACGGGGCCACACAGACCCTGCAATTGGACCCCCCTCCCGTGCCAAACCATACCCCAACCAACCCACCCCTTCAAGAAATCCATTCCCTCCCCCACCACCCATACCACCCCCCACGGGCATCCAGTCGAATCGACTTGCGGGTCACGTACGGAGCCGGCGAGCGCCAGCGCGGGGAGAGACGAGGCCATCTCGAAGCGCCCCCCTCCTCCCCCTGCTCCCCTCCCTCCTCCTCTTCCCCCCCTCCCCCTCCTTCTCCCCTCCCCCTCCTCCTCCCCCCCCTCCCCCTCCTCCTCCCCCCCCCTCCCCCTCCCACGTTCCGTATTTTTACACATCCATCAGCCACGAAGCTTCGCAGCACAGATCTCGACCGCGCTCGGTGCCTCGTCGAACTGCAAACATTTTTCGAGGAGGCAAGCGCCGGTTTCGACATGCGGTGCCTCATCAGCAGAACCAGGCTTGGCTCGATTGTTGGGGATCGCGGTCCGAGCACCGCGATCTCCGACAGTCGCCCAAGCTCTGCGGTTCTACACTCGGAGGGGGGGGGGGGGGGAGACGACAACAAACGCGCGACCGATCGACGGGCACGGAAGGAAAACGGAGAGACGGGAGAAAAGCCGCGAGGGGGGGGGGGGCGAGGGGGGGGGCGAGGGGGGCGAGGGGGGGGGCGAGGGGAGGGGGGCGAGGGGGGGGGGGCGAGGGGGGGGGGCGAGGGGAGGGGGGCGAGGGGAGGGGGGCGAGGGGAGGGGGCGAGGGGCGTTACCTCGTGGGAGCCGTGGGAGAAGTTCATGCGGGCGATGTTCATGCCGCCCTTGATCATCTCCTTGAGTTTCTCCACGGCGCAGGACGCCGGCCCTGGGGGGCACGGCAGCACGGGGGGGGGGGGGGAGGGCGGGGGTCATTGGGGGTTAGCGAGACGATGGGGGTCGTGGTAAAATAGTCTCCGTGCGTCCGTCCGTCGGTCGGCACCGGTGGGATCGCAATAACTGCGGTGAAGACGGCGGTCGGATTACCAACGAGCCTCCAGTGGGTCAAAAAGTTCCGCTGCCGCTATAAATGTCCTTGTGACGACGGCGACGATTTGACCCGGGATTTGTGATGGCCACGTCGCTCGTCTGAAAACAGCGGACGGAGCTCTACCCAGCAGATGAGTGGGGCTCTTGCACGTGGCAAAACAAATACTAAACACAGTCGTGCTATAACAGTCTCTGCACGTCCGTCCGTCCTTCCGTCCGTCGGCGGGAGGCAACTCCCCGTGGTCAGAGTCGCGTTGCTAGCGGGGGAGGAAAGAAAAGGAGGAAAATAAAACGGAAACTCGTCGACCAAAGCGTCGCTTGCCCCACGGGGTCGCGAGCGCACTGCATTCGTCCTCGCGGGGGGAGGGGGGGTGCAGGTGGGGGGGGGGGAGGTGGGGGGCAGGTGGGAGGGAGGTGGGGGGGGGGTTGGCGGTTCTGGATGGATTCCAACGGTATTAATGTAATTTTGGGGTGCTGATTCCAAATCTGGCATCATCACATCAGGTTTTTGAGATATAAAATATTGCATTTTCAATAAAAACTTCAGAAGAAAAATATTAAATAAATGTGATATCTACATAAAATGATATTATAAACACACTATCCTAAAAATACAGCACCATATTTTAACACTAAAGCAGTCACTGACTCGCAACAACATGCAATCATAAGTGACAGAGTTCATTTCGGGTAAAATCAATGAAAATGGGGTATGCCGATAGCATAAAAATGAGATGTGATAGAGCAAATCTGAGATCAGATTTGGAATCAGCACCCTGAAATTAGTCTAGAACAGCTGCAAAAGTGCAGGCCAGAAAAAAAAATATTTTTTTTGTTGACCAGTGTAATTCAGGGACACTGTCCGTGTCACGGTGGTCTGTGCTGGGTGAGGGGGGGGGCAGGTATATGGAATGAGTGGGTCAGGGGGTCAAAGGTGCTGATTGAAGCCAGGGGGGTGGTGGGTGGGTCAGACGGCGGGGTCAATGAGGAGGCGTCGCAGCGACCGCCACGGGTCGACGATCGACAGGCGGAGGGACGGGGGGGGGGGAGGGCGCTGGTCCGATCGGGGGGCACCGGGCCGGGTGGAGCGACGTGGGGGGGGGGGGGGGGGGGAGGGCGCTGGTCCGATCGGGGGGCACCGGGCCGGGTGGAGCGACGTGGGGGAGGAGGAGGGGGAGGAGGAGGGGGGGGGGGGGACCCACCGATGGTGCAGACGATGCCGGTGTTGCGAGCCACCATCGGCTCCGTGTCGATGTCCAGGTGGCACAGGTGGCGCAGGAAGCTGTCGGCCTCGTGGTGGTGGTGGTGGTGGCCGTGGCCGTGGCCGTGCGCGTGCGGCTGCTGGGCGGTCATGATGTCTCAGCTGGGGGGGGGGGGGGGAGATGGTGTTGGTCAAGATGTGACAAGATGAGTCGTCGTCGTCGTGGTGAAGAGGCCTTCGTGGGCTGGAGTTGAACCCGGGCTGCCATGTTTGTAGTGTGCAGCCGCACGTCAACCACTGCACCACCACTCCCCACCACGTCAACCACTGCGCCACCACTCCCCACCACGTCAATCACTGCGCCACCGCTCCCCACCACACAGCCGCACGCACGATGCACAAGAATAACCCCCTTGTAGCAGGCGGGGGGTCACGGGGGGGGGGGGGTGACGAGGGGGGGGGGTGACGGGGGGGGTGACGAGGGGGTGACGGGGGGGGGGTGACGGGGGGGGGGTGACGGGGGGGGGGGTGACGGGGGGGGGTGACGGGGGGGGGTGACGGGGGAGGGTGACGGGGGGGGGTGACGGGGGGGGGTGACGGGGGGGGTGACGGGGGGGGTGACGGGGGGGGGTGACGGGGGGGGGGTGACGGGGGGGGGGTGACGGGGGGGGGTGACGGGGGGGGGTGACGGGGGAGGGTGACGGGGGGGGGTGTGACGGGGGGGGGTGTGACGGGGGGGGTGTGACGGGGGGGTCACGGGGGGGTCACGGGGGGGGGGGGGGGGACGGGGGGGTGACGGGTGGGTGACGGGGGGGGGGGTGACGGGGGGGGGATGGACCCCGGGGTGTAGGTTTAATCCCGTGGTCGGCAATCCGTCTACGTAGGAGGAGAGACATTTTTGTTGTTTGTGGACAATACTCCTACAGAGACACAGCAGCAGACAATACCCCTACAGAGACACAGCAGCAGACAATACCCCTACAGAGACACAGCAGCAGACAATACCCTACAGAGACACAGCAGCAGACAATACCCTACAGAGACACAGCAGCAGACAATACCCTACAGAGACACAGCAGCAGACAATACCCTACAGAGACACAGCGGCAGACAATACCCTACAGAGACACAGCAACAGACAATACTCCTACAGAGACACAGCAACAGACAATACCCCTACAGAGACACAGCAGCAGACAATACCCTACAGAGACACAGCAACAGACAATACTCCTACAGAGACACAGCAACAGACAATACCCCTACAGAGACACAGCAGCAGACAATACCCTACAGAGACACAGCAGCAGACAATACCCTACAGAGACACAGCAGCAGACAATACCCCTACAGAGACACAGCAGCAGACAATACCCTACAGAGACACAGCAGCAGACAATACCCCTACAGAGACACAGCAGCAGAGAATACCCTACAGAGACACAGCAGCAGACAATACCCCTACAGAGACACAGCAACAGACAATACTCCTACAGAGACACAGCAGCAGACAATACTCCTACAGAGACACAGCAACAGACAATACCCCTACAGAGACACAGCAACAGACAATACCCTACAGAGACACAGCAACAGACAATACCCTACAGAGACACAGCAACAGACAATACCCTACAGAGACACAGCAACAGACAATACCCTACAGAGACACAGCAACAGACAATACCCTACAGAGACACAGCAACAGACAATACCCTACAGAGACACAGCAACAGACAATACCCTACAGAGACACAGCAACAGACAATACCCCTACAGAGACACAGCAACAGACAATACCTCTACAGAGACACAGCAGCAGACAATACTCCTACAGAGACACAGCAACAGACAATACCCCTACAGAGACACAGCAGCAGACAATACTCTACAGAGACACAGCAGCAGACAATACCCCTAGAGAGACACAGCAGCAGACAATACTCCTACAAAGACACAGCAGCAGACAATACCCCTACAGAGACACAGCAGCAGACAATACCCCTACAGAGACACAGCAGCAGACAATACCCCTACAGAGACACAGCAGCAGACAATACCCCTACAGAGACACAGCAGCAGACAATACCCTACAGAGACACAGCAGCAGACAATACCCTACAGAGACACAGCAGCAGACAATACCCTACAGAGACACAGCAGCAGACAATACTCCTACAGAGACACAGCAACAGACAATACCCTACAGAGACACAGCGGCAGACAATACCCTACAGAGACACAGCAACAGACAATACTCCTACAGAGACACAGCAGCAGACAATACCCTACAGAGACACAGCAACAGACAATACTCCTACAGAGACACAGCAACAGACAATACCCCTACAGAGACACAGCAGCAGACAATACCCTACAGAGACACAGCAGCAGACAATACCCCTACAGAGACACAGCAGCAGACAATACCCCTACAGAGACACAGCAGCAGACAATACCCCTACAGAGACACAGCAACAGACAATACCCCTACAGAGACACAGCAACAGACAATACCTCTACAGAGACACAGCAACAGACAATACCCTACAGAGACACAGCAACAGACAATACCCCTACAGAGACACAGCAACAGACAATACCCCTACAGAGACACAGCAGCAGACAATACTCTACAGAGACACAGCAGCAGACAATACCCCTAGAGAGACACAGCAGCAGACAATACTCCTACAAAGACACAGCAGCAGACAATACCCCTACAGAGACACAGCAGCAGACAATACCCTACAGAGACACAGCAGCAGACAATACCCCTACAGAGACACAGCAACAGACAATACCCTACAGAGACACAGCGGCAGACAATACCCCTACAGAGACACAGCAGCAGACAATACCCCTACAGAGACACAGCAGCAGACAATACCCTACAGAGAGACACAGCAGCAGACAATACCCCTACAGAGACACAGCAACAGACAATACCCCTACAGAGACACAGCAACAGACAATACTCCTACAGAGACACAGCAACAGACAATACCCCTACAGAGACACAGCAACAGACAATACCCCTACAGAGACACAGCAGCAGACAATACCCTACAGAGACACAGCAACAGACAATACCCTACAGAGACACAGCAACAGACAATACCCCTACAGAGACACAGCAGCAGACAATACCCCTACAGAGACACAGCAGCAGACAATACCCCTACAGAGACACAGCAGCAGACAATACCCCTACAGAGACACAGCAGCAGACAATACCCCTACAGAGACACAGCAGCAGACAATACCCCTACAGAGACACAGCAGCAGACAATACCCTACAGAGACACAGCGGCAGACAATACCCTACAGAGACACAGCAGCAGACAATACCCTACAGAGACACAGCGGCAGACAATACCCCTACAGAGACACAGCAACAGACAATACCCCTACAGAGACACAGCAGCAGACAATACCCTACAGAGACACAGCAGCAGACAAAACCCCTACAGAGACACAGCAACAGACAATACCCCTACAGAGACACAGCAACAGACAATACCCTACAGAGACACAGCAGCAGACAATACCCCTACAGAGACACAGCAACAGACAATACCCCTACAGAGACAGCAACAGACAATACTCCTACAGAGACACAGCAACAGACAATACCCCTACAGAGACAGCAGCAACAGACAATACTCCTACAGAGACACAGCAACAGACAATACTCCTACAGAGACACAGCAACAGACAATACTCCTACAGAGACACAGCAACAGACAATACTCCTACAGAGACACAGCAACAGACAATACCCCTACAGAGACAGCAACAGACAATACTCCTACAGAGACACAGCAACAGACAATACCCTACAGAGACACAGCAACAGACAATACCCCTACAGAGACACAGCAGCAGACAATACCCTACAGAGACACAGCAGCAGACAATACCCCTACAGAGACACAGCGGCAGACAATACCCCTACAGAGACAGCAGCAGACAATACCCTACAGAGACACAGCAGCAGACAATACCCCTACAGAGACAGCAGCAGACAATACCCCTACACACTGGCGGAGCCACGGGGGGGGGGTGGCACGTGCCCCCCCAATGATCCGATCTAAATCCCTAATTTCGATCGGATCATTGGGGTTTATTAGTAATAAATCGGAATTTTGCGACCCCCACTGCCACTGTGTAGCATATTATTACGCGCCAGGGACTCTATGAGAAGATAGGACAATAGTCAGAGTCCATAATTGTCAATAAGTAACTGCAAGCGGTTATAAGAGACTCAGAATTGTGCGCAGTTGCGTCTACAGCTGACACGACTTCCCTGAAGGCATCAACAGCTCCAGCGAGCGCGATGCCGATCACACGGCGCGGTTCGAATTCGACCCTCGATCGACGGCTGCGCCATCGCCGCACACGCGTCGGATGAAAAGCAAGGGACAAGTCCTTACTTTTCGATTTCAAGCTTTCGTGACTGCAGGGATTCATCTTCTTGGTTCTTTCGGTAAAGTCACGTAGAAGGGAAAATAATAAAATAATAAAAATAAAACATCATAAATTGATTCTCACGACGTTTCGGCCACAACGCAAGCAGCCGTCCCCAGGTGAAGAACGGCTGCTTGCGTTGTAGCCGAAACGTCGTGAGAATTATTTTATTACGTTTCATTTTTATTATTTTGTTATTTCTCTTCTACGTGACTTCACCGAAAGAACCAAGAAGATGAAGTCCTTACTTACTAACTGCTCTATAATTTTTCATTGCTGGAGGGATTGCCCCCTACCTGAAAATCCTGGCTCCACCATTGCCCCTACAGAGACACAGCAGCAGGCAATACCCCTACAGAGAGACCTCAACAGACAGACATTCCGGCTTAAATAAAATAGGTGACGGAACAAACTGCTGTCTCTGTAGTTGTCCCCGCCACCACCTTAGTTACTTTTTAATCAAAACAGTTTGACACACACAGAGTCAGTTATTGACACACACACAAATTGACAAGCGAAGATATTGACACACACACACTCATTGACATACACCCACACTCATTGACAGACACGCACACAAAGACAAAGATCCCCCGTATAGCCTTAACTGTTGGGGCAAGTGCTGTTAGCAAGCAGCAGCACCTACCAAGGCCGGGCACGGCACACGAGGTGGGTGGATGGGAAACAACAAC